CCGGTCCGCGGACCGGGGGTTGGGGACCACTGTATTAGACTCTTTGCTCTTTATGTAATTATTAATGGAATGTCATCTCTCATTTTTCATAACTATTCTTCACAATATTTTGAATAATTTGATAATACACAAACCTTATCAATATCCAGATTCCATGCTTTAATGTAACCATCGCTTGATGCTGTTACTAGAATATGTAAGCCTTCCATTTTGAAATTGTACAGTGCTTTGATTCTAAGGATCAAGAGATATTACATTTTTAAATGTAAATGAATTAGAAAATAAGAACATCCACAATGTTCAGGAAAGTATTGCAAAATGCTAACAACAATTACGTAACAAAATTCTACCTCTATGTGAAGAATCATGCAATGGTATCTTACTTTGATCCCTCTTCAAACACTATCTGATAGATTAAAATGTGAAAAAATGCAAGGGAAAGGAAACAGAGAGCTTGACTTACTAATGATATCCATTTTCACCAATAGTCAACATAAATAATACCGCACCAGAGCTATAATACAATTCATCCAAAGGTGAGCTCAGAGTGATATGTTCAAAGACAAAGACTGATCTAAATACAAATACTCAAACACTGAAAATTTAGTACTGAACTTTGATATTAATCTTATGGCAATTACATGTACTATCATTGAACAAAACTCAGAAGAAAAAAGTATGTTAAAAATTAATTTTTTTTAAAGATAAGTAATTATTTAATTATAGAAAAATACCTGTTTTCATGAGCTTTAAATTCACAAACACATTTTTGAGATTCACAATCAAATAATCGTATGAATTCGTCATCTCCTGCAATAGCAAGTATGGAATCCTTTAAGGAAACATGAAAAAAAGGGCGTGTATGAGAATGGATTCATTTACAACGTTCTAAATAATTTGACACTATTTTTCTACTTACAGTGATAAACTTTATTGAAGATATCCTCTTTTCTGTAGCAATGGTACCAGTGATAGAAGCTGTTTCCAGGTCATATATATCAACTTTGTTAGCTATAACCACCACATATATCTCACCACTTGTTGACCATTTAACAAGATGAGCATCTAAGAAATATAAATGATATAGATTTTGAGAAAAAAAACAATTAAATCACAGATGTCATCTAATGCAGATGAGATTTGGCTCTGCATAGTAGCGAATAGATGTTTATTTATTACTATTTAAGAAAAACCTGTCTTGAATTTAATGCCTTTACACTTTTTATACTCCTGGAAGTCAAGATTTATCAGCCCCCTTCTCTTTTGATGTTAAACAAAAATTCTTAAAATTAATATTACAGTAACAATCCACTAAGATTACAATGTATAACCTATTAATTAGGATCTAAATATTAAAATTCAAGAAATACATCACACACTGTAGTAGAACAGCTATGAAAACCTTGGAAAAGATATTCAAAGACTTTGATAACTCTATTCTTACAAAGATTAGAATTGTGGAAAACAATTGTATTCCCTATGATAGTCTATCACAGGGGGTCCCCAATCCCTGGGCCGTGGCCCACTATCAGGATGTGGCCTATTTGAAATTCTTGAATTCTTATTGTACAGTTTACAATTCATTGAATTCTTATTACTCCATATTCAGCCTGTTATCAGTAAGGCTAATTATCTGCAGTAGAATTTTATTAAAAAATCTGAGATGGTCCTTGACAAAGGTGGCTTGCGTTTTTGAACAAGAATACACACACACACACACACACACACACACACACACACACACCTATTTTCCAAGCTTTACTTTTACTACTGTGAAAGCTAACTTAAGGTTTGATAAATTTAAAGAATGGAGAATAAACAAAAATAAAAAGCAAATGCTTACTTTGTTTTATGTTTTTTATGAATGCAGATCTTCCTTCTACAAGGTTCCATGTTCTAAAAAATACCAATATATATTTTTAAACTGAAGACAACATAGTTATTTTAAAATTTAAGAAATGTTTAAAAGTAAACTCTTAATATTTTTATGTTGAATTTTAACTCCCCTATATTAAAGAAAAAGAGTTAAAGCTGCTGATAAATTATTTATCCATGAATCTGAATCTACAATATTAACTTGTCCACTATTCTTCCTAATTAGCAATGTTGTTGTACACCAATATGGATTGAAATCATTTTCATTTTTAGTAGTTGTGGAAGAATATAGATGATGGTACAAATTATAGGCAATATGGTTTCCTTTTGAAAACCTTGAGAGTGAAGAGAAGAGAATCCTTTCTGTAATTTTGACCTTCTCAAGCAAATTTACAAATTCAAACTTCTGATAGATTTCTATCAATGAAAAACAGTTTCTTACATCTGAATATTGCATTGTGTGCAGAAGCTTTAAGGTATGTATGGAAGTTGGAAATAGAGATGGCAAGACAGCAAAGTAGAGAGCATAAAACTTCATTTGCATAGTTTTGGAAGCAGCCATTATAAGCTTCTTTTCATTTATACCCCTTGTCATTTATTAAATTAGATTTTTTTTATTCTTGATGCTTGTGTGTCTTATAAATTTGTTAACTTGTTTAGCAATAACAACATCTCTGATATTTATTCTCATAGCCTTGAACAGCTAATTGCTTTGAAGTTATAAAAATAGCATTATCTTAAATAAAACCAAGGCCATTTGCAGTCTTATGACATACCTTAATGTTCTGTCTGTTCCTACTGATAAAGCCAACTTTCCAGAAGGATGAATAGAAAGAGACGTCACATGGCCCCTAATACATAAAAAGCATCAATATTTTAATACAAATAGACCACTATCAATATATTCAATCAATATATTCAATCATATGATTCCCCCTGAACAAATATAAATATTATACTATGTTTATGTTAGACCTCATGGTAGAAACTAGGAAATTAATTTCTAGCAATTGTAATTACAAGTAGTTTCCTTCTCCTCCAATATTTAGAGATCAGTTTTGATTTTAACAAAAAATAGTGGTTAGTTAAGTTTTTGTTACTGTTGTTATCTCTGTTCTCTGTGTTTTATACTATCTGTTTCTGGACTTATACATACATTATACATACTTATTAAAAACTTCGGTCATGGAGAAGCAAAGAAATTTAATAAATGAAAAAGAGGTTTAAAGCAAGAGATGGATAATTTACTTTTCATCATCTATTTCATTTCCCTCCCACTGTATACTATATCATTCTGGAAAATTCCGAATCTCATGATTAATTTTTCAGACAGGAGCAAACAAACACTATTGTAGAAATAGAATTCTGCTTACGTAGCTATGGATCCAAATTATTATACAATTATTATCAGAGAAAGGAGAACATACTTGTGGGCTTTAATTGACTTCAAGCATTCCCATTTTTTTGTATTCCAAATACATATGAGACCATCTTCAGCTCCACTCAGTAGATGAGCATTCCCATAGAATTCCAAGCAGGTTACAGTGCCTGAAAATCAACAAGAACAATTCTATTCAAGCCTTTTGGTTTGAAATGAAGAATATTTCAAAATGGTTTTTATAGCAAAGTCATAATTTTTATATACCTACAAATTTAATGAATGTCTTGGCATATTTTCAAATTTTATTTATTATCCTGTATTTATTATTATTTTTTTATAAATAACTCGAGGTGGTGAACACCTTCCTCCTCCTAGTTTCCTACAAAAACAATCCTGTGAGAGAGAATGACTGGCCCAAAGTCACCCAGCTGTTTTTCATGCCTAAAGCAGGACTAGAACTCATGGTCTCCTGATTTCTAATGTGATACCTTAATCACTAGCCCAAACTAACTCTCATAATGGCTCAAGGACAAAAACCTATGAGATCAGTAACAGGGGTCCCTTAAATGACAGTCTTTTACCAGCAAGGGTAAAAAGCAAGTTAGCCACAAACACTCTGCATAAATAGCTGTTTCAGGCTCTCTTTTCCAGCATGGGCAAGGATACCCTTTTAGGCCATGTTCATGTACACTGCTTCCTCGGGAGATTGCTCATTCGCTCAACCTGTGATTCACTATTTTGATGCATGTGACATGTTCTTAGTAGTGAGAACCTTAACAAATGCCCCATTTGAACCCCTTAGGGTTATTCCTATTAGCATTCTTACTTGAAAGTTTAATAAGGAGGTACTTGGATTTCATTTCTCCTTTGAAGAGGCACATTTGTTGTTAAACTTCTCAGTTCTTGGCTTCAAGAAATACATTGCTTTTGAATCTCAGAATAGGAAACATGTTTGTCAATGTAACCAAATACTGGCTTATACTCACTTTTCTTATTAATTTTTTTTGATATACAAATGGAGCCTTTGCCCCTTCTGATTTCCCCATTCATCAATATCATAGTTCTGTCTGCTAATGAAATTAATAGGAACTACATAAAATTAGACAAATGACATACATTAAAAACGAGATAATTTACATTTTTATAATAATGTGATTATGCAAATTACACAGCTCCACAGGTTACATACCTTTCAATTTCACACATATGTGAAAAACAGACACTTCTCCTCAAAATGAGTTTTCACCATACTGCAGTCCTGCAAGAACTATGCCTTGCTCACCCAATTTAAAACATCAAGCATGAACTCCTTACCATTGTGTTGTACCAATGCTCCATGTTCTACCTTCTTTTTCATGTCATAGATTTGTATAGTTTCATCCTTGCTCCCAGTGACCACATATCTTTCATTCACAGCTACTGCGGATAGCGAAGCACTGTGTGCATGATGAGTAAAATCAGGAGCAACTGCCCAGTTCTGAAAATAAAAAATATATATTAGGAATAAAATTTGTTTAAGAATCAGTCAAAACAGCTATTTTGATTTTCCTATAACATTCCAGTGTACTGTTTTTAAAAACCAAAGTAAAAACTTGTTTGAAAGCACTTATCTTCACATATCTTCACCTAATATACTTAGCATCACATCTCCCAAACGTTCATTAAATGTTTTGATGAATGACATAAACTGACTCAAATGCTTGAATGGAAATATTCAGTACTAAGCTTTAAGATGCTTCTTCAAAATGAATGCTTGTGACACATATTTATTTTCCAAAAGAACACTGGATTTTGTTAGTGATTTCTGGATGAATGGCCTCTCCATAACTAAAGGATGTTGTTTCATGTGGACCACTGAAATTCTTGTCCCACAAACCTTTTTTTTTTTTTTTTTTACAAAATTTGTTATTTACAGTACTTTTTAAAGGCTGAGTTCTTAATTTCACTTCAGGCAATCAAAGTGCACTTTTAAGTCCACAAAAAATGAAGCATATCAACAGCTTTTCTAGACTAAGTAGCAAACTTCATATGCATTGATTTCTTTTGTATCCATTACATGAACCAATTCCCCCTCAGGCTACACTACTTCGTTTGTAATGGTAGTAGTGATGGCAAATCAATAGGTTTGCATTTCTTTGATTTCATTACTTTTATTGAGTTTTAATATAAGCTGCCTTGAGTCTTTCCACTATGGAAGCTAGGTAAACCTAATAAAGGAGATGGAGGAATATAGAAGTCCTGCTATGTCAATGTTATATTTTGCTTCCTTTACACACACAAACACAATGAAAGTTTTGCTACTAAGAAATTAGTTGAAGACTGATACCATTATATTTAATTTAAAATTAAATAGTTGTATAATAGTGATGAAGGAAATGTCCTTCTGGGTTCGGCTCCAAGTGGGGAAAAAGACACTGGAGACATGGAGGCTGCTTGGAAAGATGGTTTATTGGTGGACAGGACCGCATGGCTTGAGCCCTGTACAGAAAAGGTGATCAATGCTTCAATGTTGGTGGAGAAGAGAAGCGCTGAGGGAGGGGCTTACTATGCTTTTTATAACCTGTTCAGTCCCACCTCTCTGTTTCCTGTTCCTGTGTAAGAAATGTA